CATATCGTGATATGAAAAAATCTCATATCGCCCAGCTCTAGGTACATGTGCCCTGAAACCTCACCTACATCAGGTCAGGTTCCCCCACCTGCACTCTAACAACCCTCAGACTGTTCCAAGTGTCCATATTCCCTGCAGTTGATCTCTTGTTTGTTGGATCAGTCATCACTGATCAATGACCAACACAACAGACCCAAATTAACTGAACTCCTGTCAGCTCTGGCACCTCTCACCTACTTCAACAATAAACACATGTATGTGCAAATGCTGTTCATAGACTTCAGTTCATTATTCAACACAATCATTCCTCAGCACCTCATTGGAAAACTGAGCCTACTGGGCCTGAACACCTCCCTCTGCAGCTGGATCCTGGACCTTCTGACAGAGACACCTCAGACAGTCCGGATCAGTAACAGCATCTCCAACACAACCACACTGAGGACCTGAGCCCCTCAGAGCTGTGTGCTCAGCCCACTGCTGTTCACGACTGTGCAGCAATGCACAGCTCAAACTACATCATCAAGTTCACCGAGGAAACGACTGTTGTGGGTCTCATCAGGAAGAGGGATGAGTCAGCATAGAGAGAAGAGGCGCAACAGCTAACAGACTGGTGTAGAGTCAACAAGCTGTCTCTAAACGTGGAAAAAACAAAGGAGATCACTGTCCACTTAACAGGGATCCTCTGTGGAGGTCGCCGAGAGCATCAAATTCATTGGTGGAGAATTTCTCCTGGTCCCTCAACACCAGCTCCATAACTAAAAAGGCCCAAGAGCATCTCTAATTCCTGCGGAAGCTGAGAAAAGCCCATCTCCCTCCATGCATTCTCACCACCTTCTATGGAGGTCCAATTATCAAGAGCATCCTGAGCAGCTGCACACTCTGGTATGGTAACTGCACCATACTGGATCACAATACCCTACAATGGATAGTGAGAACAGCTGAGAAGATCATTGGAGCCTCTCTTCCCTGCCTTACAGACACTTTTTGTACCCGCTGCATCTGCAAAGCCACCAGCATCGTGGAGGACCCCACACACCCCTCACACACGCTCTTCACCATGCTGCCTTCTGGCAAGAGGTACCGGAGCACTGGGGCCCTCACTGCCAGACTGTGAAACACTTTCTTCCCCCAAGCCAGACTTTCCCAAAGTGAGGGGGCCGCCCCCCAGGGGGGGTGAAGAGCCATTGCAGGGGGGGCGCAGTATGAAAAGGGGAAAAAAAACAAAAACAAAACGCTTGGACACTGCCAGCACGGGGCGCCCACACAAACGCAAAGCAGGAGATGAAGCGTCGCTGAATATGTTTCCAAACCAACTTCATTCTAAGACAAAGACTAGAAAATCTGGTGAAGCAAATCTGCCCTTTGGCTTCACCTGCACAGGTGCTGAGGTAGGTCTCCCTGCAGGGTTGGTTTCCCCTGCATCAGGAGCAGCGCTGGG